ATTGCACTATTGCAATATTCGATATCCATCTAACTGTCATTATCTTGAATTAACTTATAGAACAAGAGGGAAATCACAGAAGGAAAGCTACACAATGGTCAAAAAGAACCGATGAAAGTTATATAATAGTTACATAATTTCTCTATTTTGTTGTTGAATACTTGTAATAAGATTTCTAATGTCGGCACAATGGCAACTTAGAATTTGTCTCGACAGTTTCCAGATAAAATTTTGGGAAATTGTTATGTTTTTTTTGTAACTACAAATTTACTGGAGAAAACGACAAATGAACGTTTAAAATACTATAGGTCAATGACTTTCCGCACAGCAATGGTTTTACGTCAGGACGGGGAAACGTCGTGGCGATCATGCCTTTGTTACCCTTTTGTTCATGGGCTCTGGATGTACCTGAATGCATGAAATAAAATGTGAGAAAGTAGTGATGCCTTAGAAGAGTAATATTAAGTCTATCAAATATAAAGCCAGTTGGTTACAATGTTTGAAAATTTGTTTATATCTCGTTTATTATTGAAGGCCGTATGGACCTCTAGTTTACTTTTGTGCTTGAGTGATGTTGCCTTACCAGCTGATCCAGTTTATAAAAGTAGAAGGTATCTTAAACATACTTTATTCTGGTCAAAAATCTTTGCACCAGTCAAAAGTTAGAAAATTCGTGTATGGTTTTCTTGTGTTATATCTTGATGACCGCCATTTAGACAACGCGGCGTTTCTAAACTTTGTTCTATTTCGAACATGACAGTTTTTATATATTTCATCTATCAGTGAATTCCTTAAGGCGACTACAAGAATACCATTGTGCAGTTGGGTTTATTCTACGTGCTTATAACCCACAAGTTTCATTCATATTGAAGTGCTTCGTTATTTTCTCATGACAAGTAAAAATAATGTCATCAGTCTCAGTAGGTGATAGTCGTAAAATGCATATATTGTCATATCTTAATATGTTTTGCTTTCCATGATTAAGTCAATAATAATAATATTCTGACATCACCCCCTGTTTTAAGTTCGTGTTGCTATTTGCTCAGTCTATTGTTTCGTATTCTGTGAATTGTCTTTTCGTCTTTTGTTTTATAGACCATGGTATAGGCTATGATTGTTTTTTTTCGACTTTGGTTTTGTTTGCCCCATATAACATCTGTTTTTTGAACGAAATTTTAGTCGAAATCTTGATAAATGTTGGACAATTATGGATTGCATCCAAAAATATTATTGAATGACATTCTTCACCAAAACAAAGATAACTAACTTATTTTGAGTGAGGTATATGCTTCGATAAAATATTTTCTAAAAACATGTAAAGGTTCACAATGTTTAGCGGATAATTTCATTGGAGTTCTATGGGTATATGCTAAATTGTAAAGAAAAAAACCCATTTAGATTATTATTAAAATTTGATTTATACTTCTTGATTGACACAGTTACAGAAAAAGTGGCCATACCTTTCTTAAGGACATACGATACAGTAGCAAGAGCAGATAATAATGCATCTTAATTTAACGCGATATTTTTGCAACATTGCTAATGATAAGAATACAAATTCGCAGAAAAACTTCGGTTACATGGATTTGAAAGTATCTGCAAAGATAAACAAAGATGTATGTTTTAGGACTTGTAATCTACTGCGAGGCAATAAAATTCGAGGCAAATGAAGACTAAATCACTTTTCTTATATCAATGAATAAAAAATGGCAACAGTAGTATACGGCTGTTCGGAAGTCATAAATCGATTGAGAGAAAGCAAATCCGGGTTACAAACTAAAACCGAGGGAAACACATCAACTATGAAAGGAAAACAACGAAATAACAGAAACACTGAAGTGAACAAAAAACAAACGACAATGCAACACACACAGAAACGAACTATAAGATAACAACTGCCATTTTCCTGACTTGGTACAGGACATTTTAAGAAAAAATGGTGGGTTGAACCTGGTTTTTTGGCGAGCCAAAACTCGCGCTTTTATGGCAATGTCAAATATAACACTAAAATGACAACATTATATGACAGGAATACAGTACAAATAAATGCAAGAACATTCAGGACAGAGAAATACACAAATAAACAATACAATAGTACATTTCGACATGCTAACCACAGAAAAAAAACGAACACGTAAAACAACATAGGACAGCACACAAAAACAGCACTTCAGAACCACGAACTGTCTTTCACACGACTGGATCAACGCCACAAAAGTGACGTCACAAGTAAATTTCTAAAAATTTGATACAGTTCAAGATCAGGTTTGTAACTATGTCATTTGCTGTATTTTGTAACAATTACAAGAATTTTAATATAGAATTGTGTTAGTAATTAGATAATTAATTGTATTATCTAGCTATGTCGGTATTTCTTCTAAATTTGAATCTAAATTTGTATATGAGAGTAATGTATTTATTGTTTTGATGAACGGCTGTAATAACTGAACAACGAAGTTACATTAAGAAAACACTGCGACGTAATTTAGCACAAAAAAATAAATAAAAAGAAATGGGATCGCCATTATTTAAAAAAACCTATTTTCTAACTTAATTATAAGCACATGGGCTCCAGTTTTTTTTTTATAGCTCAACTGATTAACAGGGCCAATTGAGCTTTTCTCATCACTTGGCGTCCGTCGTCTGTCATCGTCCGTTAACTTTTACAAAAATCTTCTCTGAAACTACTTGACCAAATTTAACCAAAGTTGGCCACAATCATCATTGGACCCCACTTGCCACCAAAATGGCCGTACGACGAAAAATAGAACATATGAGTAAAATGCAAGTTTTGTATATTATTTTGAAAACCGTTATTAAGGTGGTACCTAACACTACAGGGAGATAACTCTGTAAAAATCAGCTAAACGTTTTAATTACTTTGTATTGTTAAGGAAATATTAAGCTTCTCAATGATCAAAATTAGTGTTTGTCAAACTGCTATATAACCAATGAAATTTTTCTGATAAAGTGGTAGGTTCAAATTTTTTGAAATTTTTATATTTTTGTCACAGGGTTAAAGTAAACATTTTGTCAAAATTTTATGAAAATTAAACGAGCCAAATTAATATTAGTCAAGGTGTTGGGTACCACCTTAATAGAAAAAATCTGACGATGGCATAAATGTTCACAATGTTGAGCTCTACCAGTTCTTTATTGACGTCAAAACTGTCAAGCGGCTACTTATAGGAGTTATTGCTCTTAAATGACAATTTATACCATTTATTTCCATTTTTGACTTTTATCTTAAAAACTATAATAGGTAGAGAGAAACTTTATGTTACAAAAATTATCAACAAGACCAGTTCTACGAATAAGTATGATGGTCGAAATCGTCAGTCGACTACTAATTTTTTAATTAGAATTATTGCCCTTTAATGATGATTTTACCAAATTTTACCAATTTGTATTTTGCCTTATATGAGAATAGAAACCTTAAATAACAAAAATGATCAAAAAGGCAAAATCCACAAACAAATAAAATTCTGCCGATAAAGTAAGTAGACTGGACTGTCACTCTCCATAGGAGTGATTGCCCTTAAATGAGGATTTGTTTACTCTCTTTTGTGTGTTTGAGCAAAAACTAAAGAAGATAGAGAGAAACTAAACAGACAAAATGAACAGCAAAACAAGATCAACAAAAAGGAAATTTTTGTCATGAATTCTATTCTTGTCTACAATGGTGGAGAGAGTCCATTGTTGATTAAGCACATAGACCTAGATAGGCGACACACGCTCTTTAGAGCCTCTAGTTTTCTTTTGTAATCAACTATGTACTGCGTGAAGAATGTTATATCGATATTGAACGAAACAATCAACAGAAGATATTTTTTTTTCTGTATGCATTTGTATTGACAAGAAAAATCATCTTATTTATTTTTTACCCAGAACTCTTGATTTCACAAATATTTAATGGCATTCGGAGAGACTTCACCGAAAGGCATATTAATAAAGAAACACTTGGCAAAACAAAAACGGGTGAAAATATATCCTCCGTTTGAAAGTTGTATTATTTTTTTTTAAGAAAAGCATTATTAGATAACTGTGTGATCTTGAATCATGAGGATATTTATACAGTTATAAAAAGTCAACGAGACCTCGCTTAAATAGTCACCCAATAGCACTAATATCAGCTGAAGGATGCCGATTTTGTTACTACTATATCTGTTTGTCAACGAGTGAATGATATAAATCACACTGAGACTTAAATAGTTCTGTTTTCATCTAAGGTGATACAATTTCTACTCGGTCACAAGCCGCAAACAGAGACAGCCATTAATAGGAAGACCAAAATCGATATGTTTTATTTTTGTCTACTATAACTACGCAAGGATTTTTTTGTACTTGTATATCCTGTCATATCGGAAGCTAATTATCCGTATTATTATTATTATATATAATTTGCTTTCCAACTTATATTTCATTTTTTCCTTATTCATGTTCTGATTAAAAAAATCCTCTACGTACATAGCTGCGGAAGTGAGTTCGGAACAAAAAAAAGAACAAAGGCGTGAAACTCACAATTACATTTTCATTGTGAAAAATCGAGATAAAACTAATTTGGTTTGGTTATATAAACAAAAAATGACGTTTTAAAGAGTCTGATTATCCACGATTTTTGTTTAAGTTAACGCATGTTGCTCAATGTTTAGAATGTGTTGTAAACTATAGCCCTTTTTGTCAATGCTATTATTTGTTTCGTTTCTTAATACGTTTTTTATCACCCATAGGTATCTTCGTCCTCATCGTGAATGATCAAGTATGATGAACTTCTTTCAAAACTACTCCGATAATCTGATAAAACAAATCATTATAAGAAAATTCATAAAAACTAATTACTTCGATAATTTGATTAACACATCACGAGAGGAAAAGTTATAAAAGCCAAGTAATACTTATTTGTTTATGAGACTTTCAATGATGAAACCTAATGGAGCAGTCCACATTTGAATTGTTATCAATATATAAATATTGTATTTCTTTGAGCAATATAAAAAGTGTTATTTCTGGAGAAAATTTTATTTGTTTCTATCATACGTCAAGGTGCCGTTAAATGATATTTTCTCGACTCGTCGTCTGTCGTGTCTTTTGCCCATGTTTGGACTTCTCCTCTTGCAAAAGATCCATATATAATTGTCCCAAACAGACAAAATCCTGCACAGACGTAAAATACATTCCTCCATTCTTGTTGAGTGTCCTAAAATTAATAATATATATTTCCTAGAACTACCAAACAAGACAGCCTGAAACGATAGATTGCTTCACCTGTTTATTGGTAATAAGTATTGATTGCATTCAAATTTGGTGGTGTATATGACATACTCATATCGTGGACATGGAATAAAGAATAAACATTGTAGCAGAAATGGCTCTTTATGCAGTTGGAGGTTTGGCTTCCGTTAACCTAGTACATACCAACAACTTTGTTAGAACGTCAACCACCAATTGTGCCTTGAAGATCGATTAATAAAAACAACACGTCATAAAAGAGGGACGAAAGATACCAGAGGGACAGTCAAACTCATAGATCGAAAACAAACTGACAACGTCATGGCCAAAAATAAAAAGACAAACAGACAAATAATAGTACAGATGACACAACATAGAAAAATAAAGACTAAGCAACACGAACCCCACCAAAAACTGGGGGTGATCTCAGGTGCTCCGGAAGGGTAAGCAGATCCTGCTCCACATGTGGCACCCGTCGTGTTGCTTATGTTATTACAAATCCGGTAAATAGTCTAATTCGGTAAGTCACATTCGTGAAAAGGGAATTGTAGCTACGACATAAGGAACATATCCGATATCATCTGTGAAACGGTTATTCCATAACGGTCAACCAACTCGTGATGGCGTCCGTAAAATTTACGAAGGGATGACTTCAACTTCACCATTTGGAACTCTTGGTTTAATAGCTTCCTTGTGAGCAGCAATCCTCTATCAAGGAAATCATGATAGGGAACACAAGCCCGGGAATATCGTATCAATTGGGAGATATATACTCCGTATGCAGGCGCTGCTGGAATGTTGCTACATAGAAATGGAAAGTTCACAATTGGGAAGCTGAAATCATCTCTTTTGTCGTAAAGTTTTGTTTCCAACCGACCCTCATTGTCAATTTCTAGATGTAAGTCAAGATATGAGGCAGACTTAACTGTATCTGTAGTATCCTTTATCTCTAGTTCGATGGGATAGATTCGATCAACATAGTCACCAAATTTTGTATTATTCAGTGAGAGAACATCATCTATATAGCAGAACGTAGAGGTAAAGGATATTGCTAACTTCTTATCTCTCATAAATTTCATGCGTCCGAATCGCTTTTGTAGATTTACCCTCATCAGGAACGCTCAAAGCCGAATATTTGAAAGCCAAGGATGTTTTAGAAACGAAAGAGTTGAAGAATTGTATGATAAAAAAGGACGTGAAAATAGCCAATCCAACCAAGGTCAACTTTGCCTCCTTAGTTTCTTTATAATTTCAATATATATAAACGGACAATTTTAGAAAAGTTGTTATAAATAATGACAGTACTGAAGTACCGACTTCAGAGCTGAAAATACCTTTGGGGACTGATAGTTCACCAGAAGGATTAAAAAAAAAAATATCAAGTGTGTATAGACGTTGATGTTTCTGAAAATACTTTGGGGTTAAACTCTTTTGTTTTTCTAATTTAAAGAATGAAACTTTGTTAAAAAGATACTAAGGGAGCAATACAAAATTTGGTCATTCACTTTTCCTTGGAGAAGAACTTAATTGAGTACAAACCTTTGGAGCGGCAATTGAAGCCTTAATTCATGAGTGCTATTTATATGCTACATCTAGCAAAATGACTGTTTATCCACATTTTGGCCATATAGAAAACGAACTATATGAATCACACAGTTCGTTTTGTTAACAGCTACATCGTGCATAATGCCATAAACTTTTTGTTGATATTTGAGCGTTAACAGTTAGCTATTTTTTGTTTCAGCTGTTTCTGATTATGATAAATTACACCTACGTCAAGTTTTTATCTGATCGGATCTACAATCTTACTTTTATTACCCGGACAAAACAATCTATTTAGGTCTGTACCTCACTCAACATAATTCCATCTTGAGTAAAATAAAAGACCACCTCTGAAGGACCTCATTATTGTCGACTAATTTTTATGAATGATTCATGACTTTACTCATAGGTGATTAGACACATACTTAATAAAACATTTTAAAGAAACTAATTCATACCAAAGGGTAAGAAGAGGTGACTTATCTTTTGTATAATTATTATATTAGATGAGTTAACGAACACATATAGACGTTTCATCTCCATTGTTTGTGACATTTGTTGTATACTCTAAGATTTAAAGTTTATTTTTTTCTATCAAATTTGATATTTCTATTATCATTGTAAAGGCAAATATAGCAGGTCAAAATATATTCGGTGACTGGTAATTTAATTTCATTTTTTTCCATTTGTAAATAACGTGAAGTTAATAATCACTAATATGTATATTGGAATCGTGACACAGAGATAAAGTTCCTCAATCAACCGGTCACATTTCTCACTTCTTAAGAAATGACAACGAATAATTTTTGTTGTTCATGAGTTTTTATTTAAAAAAAAATGAAGTTTTAAGACATGATGAAATTTAGATTATCGTTTTGCCGACTGTTTGTTTGTAGTATTCTCTTTGTTTAATCTGTTTTATTAGTATTTTGTATGGTTTTTTTTTCGGCTTTTAAACTTTGAAGATGTTTTTCTGCAACCTCTTTTCCAAATAGTAATCCACACCATGTGTATGGCTTAAAATGTGTACTTAGCTTAATATAACTACTTACATTTGGAGTCAAAGCCCCTGCAATTTGCGGTGCAACTATGCCTTGAATTGTTGCCATAGTATTAGTGATACCTAACATAATTCCTCCGAATCTGAAAAACAATATATAAATGTTCCTCAATGTTTATAATATATACACACTTTCTTAGATCATCACCATCATCATCATCGTCATCGTCATCGTCATCGTCATCGTCGTCGTCATCGTCGTCCTCCTCCTCCTCCCCAAGATCATTTGTTTTATTTTTTATAATGCAAATAAAAACGGTTATAACAAAACACAATGTTATCACAACATCCCAATTTATATTAAGATTTAAAATGAAGTCAAAATTGACATATTTTACAAAGTCAGTTTGTAAAATATGTGGAGCAGGATCTTACCCTTGCGGAGCACCTGAGATCGCCCCCAGTTTTTGGTGGGGTTCGTGTTGCTTAGCCTTTAGTTTTCTGTGTTGTGTCATCTGTACTATTTTTTGTCTGTTTGTCTTTTTATTTTTGGCCATTGCGTTGTCAGTTTGTTTTCGATCTATGAGTTTGGCTGTCCCTCTGGTATCTTTCGTCCCTCTTTTGTAAAGAGTCATTGGTTAAATCAAATATGAGTAATAGCCTTCCCAAAAGAGAGGCAAAGGATACCAAAGGGATATTCAAACTCAAAGTCGAAAACGAACTGAAAATGCCATGGTAAAAAGAGAACGACGCAAAGCAACCAATAGTACACAAAATACAACATAGAAAACTAAAGATTGGGTAACACGAATCCCACAAAAAAAAAAAAACAATTGGGTGATCTCAGGTGCTCCTGAAGGGAACGCAGATCCTGCTCCAAATGTAACAACCGTCGTCTTGCTCTTGTAAGTACAACATAAGTAAGGAGTCTAATTCGGTAGATCACATTCGAGGAAAAAAAGACGCGGATGTGGTTACGACGATTGGAACATACCCATCGTCATCTGTGATATAGATATTTCATAGCGGTCGACCTACTCGTTATGGCGTCCGGAAAATGCTTGAAGGAATGATTTAAACTTCTCTTGGTTTAATAGCTTCCTTTTAAGCAGCAACCCCGAAAAATCATTGATAGAAATCCAAACTCTAAAAAATCGTATTTCCTATCAACTAGTAGAGAGTGTCCTGCATATGGTCGCGCTTTTTGAATGTTGCTAATGGAAATGGAAAATTCACAATTTGGAAGCTAAATTCATATCTTTTATCGTAAAGTGAGTTCTCCACCGACCCTCATTGACAAGCTGTTGATGTAAGTCAAGATATGAAGCATCATTTATATGTTTTGGAGTTTAGTGTGACGTCCATTTTCATTGAACTAGTACACATGTTTGTTTATGGGCCAGCTGGTGCGGGATTTTCTCGCTGTATTGAAGACACATTGGTGGTCTTCAGCTGTTTTCTGCTCTTTGGTCGGGCTGTTGTCTCTTTGACACATTCCCCATTTCCATTGGTGTATCTGTTGTATCCTTTATTTCAAGTTCAGTGAGATAGAAGCGTTCAACATAGTTCGAATTAATCAGTGAGAGGACATCATCTATGTAGCGGAACGTGAACTTAAAGGATAATGTTAGCTACTTTGTTGTCAATCAAAAAATCAATGATCGTGATAATGTCAGTTTCAGAATTGTTTTTTTTTTTTTAGATACGTTAGATATTCAAATTACACATACAACTTTTAAGGCGAAAACTATATCTTATAAGGCTGTTGCTGATTTATAAGTCAGATCCATGAATGAAGCTCCTTCGACACTTTTTTTCATTTTTTTTCTTTAGCATACAAGGTTTAAAAACGAAATTCGTACAACAAATTCGAAATTTTAAGTACGGAAATCCGACGGACATATGTTTTGTAAATAACTGAATGATATAAGGTTAAGGAGGCCTTTTCATACGGTTTATATTAACAGAGAAAATCATTGATGTTCCATTAACATAAACATTTCCTAAAAGACAACAACATTGCAATATTTTCAAAGACTAATCAGGTGTCTTCTTTCAATTTTTTGTTCATTCTTTTTTTGTTTTTATTTGGATACAATAATATCCATTTTTGAACAGATTTAAAAAAAAAATAGAAAAGACCGTTCAGTTATAATGTTAACTTTAGCGTTAATGCATATGTCTTGTTGCATAAGAGAGGCAAGGATACCTAAGGGACATTCAAATTCATAAGTCGATAATAAACTGACAACGCCATGGCTAAAAAAGAAAAAGACAAACAGACAAGCAACTGTACACAAAACACAACATAGAAAACCAAAGACTGAGCAACATAAACCCCACCAAAACTGGGGGTGATCCCAGGTGCTCCGGAAGGGTAAGCAAATACTGCTCTACACGTGGCACCCATCGTGTTACTCGTGTAAGTACGAACCCGATGATAGATCTAATTCGATAGGTCACATTCGGTAGAAAGGGGACGAGATTGTATTTACGATAGTTGGAACATATCTGTCGTCATCTGTGAAACAGATATTCCATAACGGACTACTTACTCGTGATGAAGGAATGATTTCAACTTCACCACCTGGAACTCTTGGTTTAATAGCTTTCTTGTGAGCAGCAACCCTCTATCAAGGAAATCATGATAGGAAATACAAGCCCTGAAATACTGTATCAACTGGGAGATATATACTCCGTATGGAGGCGCTGCTGGAATGTTGCTACATAGAAATGGAAAGTTCACAGTTGGAAAGCTGAAATCATCTCTTTTGTAGTAAAGTTTTGTTTTCAACCGACCCTCATTGTCAATTTCTAGATATAAGTCAAGATATGACGCAGACTTAACTGTATCTGTTGTATCCTTTATCTCAAGGTTGATGGGATAGATGCGTTCAACATACTCACCAAATTTTGAATTATTTAGTGGGAAAACATTATTTATTTAGCGGAAAGTAAAGTTGCATGTACACATTATCTTTTATCAACAAACACATTTACCACTGAAAAGAATTCTTTTTTTTTTGTATTTTTAGGTTTCTGTGTTTCAAATCTCCTTTTAATGAAACGAATTACAAAATATTTGTGACATTGTACTTACTTTGGAGCTACATCGATGTGATTAACAGAAAACCCTCCTCTGCCAAACCCTAAAGATGTTACAGCTAAACATAGAAACAAAACTGCAAGATAATTCATCTCAATAGGAACGAATCCGGTGACAACTAGAAATGCCCCTGCGCCTATGAAAGCTGAAATATAGTTTGTGTTTAATAATTTTTCACAGTATTTCTTCCAGGGATGGGCACGATTACTGACAAATGTAATCGATTAATAATCGATTACTTGACGGATTTTTGTGCAATCGATTAATAATCGATTACTCAGATGTTTGTATGTAATCGATTGTAATCGATTAATTTATCAAAAGTAAATACGCTACTTTTCGATTACTGTCAATTACATGCTACACAATTATATCAAAAAAAAAATAAAAAAGAAAGTTAAACACAATTCTGTTGTTCAACATATTTATAGTGGAAATTTAGAACTTATACAAAAACAGCTTTTAAAGCATTGTTTCCAAATGTTATTGTGACAGTTGTTTTCTAGATGAAAGCTTAAGCTCTTACCAAGCATTCAGCCTATTTAAACATTCTTGAGTGAGTGATTGTAAACATGAGAACATTTTTGAAATGACAGCGACCATTGCATCAATTGCTTCTGTGTATTGTAAGTCATTTTCTCAATATTTTGCCAATTGTTGCTGTCATACTGACTTAGCCTTGGTGTTTGGTTTTACGTATTATTAAACAGGTATATTTGAATATAATTCATTGCAATTTTGGAGGTTTCCTCTGAAAAATATATATAAAAAAGTAGAATAATTAGTTCAGTTAATTTTAAAGGTGGAAATTTATAATTTCTAATAACATGAATGAATTTATCCTTTTATAGTACAGATAAAACCTTTTGTTTGGATAACCTTCCTAATTACAGGTTATAAAACTGCCAATGGAGAACAATTTATAATCTAGGGCAATATAATGTAAATCTCTCACTTAATAAGACATAATTGAAATCAAAACAAAGTCTGTATCTCATTAATTAGAAGTCTATGATCATCTGATTAGTACAAACAAAAAGGTTGTTGAGAATTCTTTATTCTCTATTCAAAATTATGAACAATATATATTTTTAGTGTCAATAAGGGATATATGTATCTATTACCGAACAAGAATTTCAATGCATTGGTTCACTGTCAAAAGAAGTTTGTATACTTTCTTAATTTTTATATCATATATAACATTATGAAGAATCAAATATCATTTCTAAGCTAAAATTTTAACTCTTTTAATTTTAGTTTTTAATAAAAATTATGCTTTAATGAATTTCATTACAAATTAGCTAACTACTTCAATGTAGTACAGAACTTATTTTCTTATTTTCAATAGAAAAGGTCTTAAAATATTGACAAGTATTGAACGTCTTTGTTTTCAAAAGCTTGAAATACAATAAAATTTGTTAGGAGATCTGGTTAATCATATTGCGGCTAGAGACAACAGATCGGATTAAAGTATTTGATAAACTTTCAAGTATTATAAATACATTCTATTTTATCTGTACTATTAACTGATAAATACATGCAGTTGTTTATTTTCATTTAAACAAGGTCATATTTCGTCAACCTATTTTTTCTGAAGTAATCGAAATGTAATCGAAAAGTAATCGATGATTATATCATATTTTTTGCTGTAATCGATTAAATTACGATTACATGTAATCGAAAATGTTGTCAATTACATTTACTGTTGATTACTTGAAATAATGGTAATCAATTACAATCGATTAAGATTATAGATTACGATTCCCCCATCCCTGATTTCTGCATCATTCATAAAGGCCGTGAACTTGTACATGTTGAATTTTAAAAGGAACAAAATGATTACTCGTTCAACACAATTTGAATGTATAAACTGTTACTTATCTTGTCTTTAAACTATAATTGAAAATATTTACATTGTTCAAAAGAAGAAGAAAAAAAACCTCATAACATGAAACGGTATCAATTTTTCTGGCCCAGATGCACATTTCTACAAATAATGTCTCTTTAGTGATGCTCAAGGTCACAATATTAAAAAAAAACTTACTCAGGGTCAGTACGTAAAGATTTTTTATACATTATCTAAAGAACCATTTATTCAGCACCATATACCTTTTGAAACGGTCCCATGCACTTACTAATTTAATACGTTGGGCTCCTTCATCACATTTGGGATATGATATCAGAATCGGCTATATATCAAAAGTGCAATTAATCTCTTAAGGTTACGTACGAAAATACTTTACATGCAAATAAAAGGGATATTTTCCATTTTAAAACATGTTTTTTTACAATTTCCAGAAAAATGGTACCCTTGAAAATAGTAATTTAGACAAATTAAGCTTCCAACCATTTTTGAGAGATATTAATTGTTATATCCTTGACATTCAAGCATACTTGATATTGATATAGTCATAAGAATAAATTAACTGTTTACAAAAATTTGAATTTTGGAGAAAAAAAAGCAGTGTCTACCACTGGAATAGATAAAATTAGCTCCATTTGGTAAAACCGAGCATCACTGATGAGTCTTTATCAGACGAAACGCCCGTCTAACATACAAAATTTTAACCCTGGTAACTACGGTGAGTGTTAATACTGACCAACCTATGCTTTGAAATAATTTTCTGGTTTGTCCTGTTGTCAATATACGCTGCTTTCTCAGATAATCCGCAAAATTTCCAGCGACTATAGCCATAACAGACTGACAAATGTATGGTAACGACGACAGGGCTCCATTCTTTGAAAAAGAAAATTAATATTTTAGATTGCAATATCATTTAATTTCTAACTGTATATTTATATAAATTCATAAACATTTTAAATTAATAGTTATGTAACTAAATATATCTAAGGTAGATAGAATTTGAAATTAATACCATTCATTGTTTGTAAATTGTCCAACAGGACAGTTGAAAGTATAAACAGAACAAATAACATAAAATATGTCACCATACTTTACACCGAGAAATATAGAGGGTAAAGAAATATCTTGCACAGTTTCTACAAGAGAATATGATTCTCTTGTGAATAAATGATATGTTTATCGATATAAATAGATTGGTTTAGTCCTTTGAATAAGTTTATATTGATTACAGATATGTGATCGAATGTACAAATGCACAATCTATTCACACTTGTTCGACTCGGATTTTGAATTAAGTATAAAAACTTGTCTATTAATGAAAATGACAAGTTCGCCACTAGATTCCTTAGTACATGTTATTGTTGTCTCACTAACGTATAACCACAGTCCATTTCTCAATAGCTTAGATAAAAATTGATCAAACTTGTTTCATTTCCGGTTCAATTATTTTAGAGTGAACGCATTGTAACCTTGCATTGCTAAATTATAAAATCTTTGATATTTAAATAAATCTGCAATTCTTATGCTTTTGTTTTTAGTTTATCGTCATTAACTAGATAATATGCTAAACGTAAAACACCCACACACATATATATATATATAGCAATAAAAGTCCATCCGTTTGACGTCGGCCCCCGCATTTCCGTTAACCAAACGTAATAAGGTACACAGAGGGAGCCCCGCGGTTCCTGACATATGACGAACATATAACCAGTGTATCATGATTACAATAGTTTAACGGATATTTAATATTTCCTTACTTCATTAGTAAATGACAAACCCAGGTGAAAATTTTTCCGGCCAGATGAAATAAATAAGATAACTAACAGGTTTCTTAAATGAATTGTTCGGAACATTATAGCTTCCAAGGTTTCGCAGTGCAAATAGCATTGCCCGTCATTCGGTTGTGGTTATGTGATATGAAATGCTGTTATTTTATTGCATTTAATGGATAGCTGTCAATGGTGTCACTGCAAGAATTTTCATGAATTTAAACATTTAAACATTTAAAGTGCTATTCAAAAAACGTTTAATAAAAGTGTAAACAAATTGTTAGAACTAAAATGAGATTTACGTTTTCTCAAATGAGTCGATCGATTCATGTAACGTAAGCAATGAATCAGGTGGCTGTAAGATGTATTTGTTGGCAAGCGTTGAAGTGCTTTTTTAAGATTATTTTATGTCCATCTTTATATATATGTAAATGTATAAACATTTTAAGGTAATGGACTGAATCTTTTAAATTTGGTAACTAAACTTGACAATTTAATATCTTAAAATATGTATTATCTTACTTTCATTGCTGCATTACTTTTTCTATTGTTCACTTTTTAGATTATGTCTCATATCTTGACTTAAATCTAGAAAATGACAATGATGATCGGTTGAAAACAAAATAGATGATTTCAGCTTCCCAATCATGAACTTTCCATTTCCATATGTAGCAACATTTCAGCAGCGCCTGCATATGGAGTATACATCTCCCAGTTGATACGATATTCAAGGGCTAGTGTTTTCTATCATGACTATTGATAGAGAGTTGCTGCTCACAAGAAAGCTATTAAACCAATAGGTGAAGATAAAATCCATCCTTCGTAAGTTTTACGGACGACATCACGAGTTGGTTGACCGTTTTAAAATGTCTGTTTCTAAAAATCAGATACCCGATTTGGCTGATAATTTCAGGGCAGGTAGACCTTGACCAATGAATGCTTTAACTTCTTGTCTGATTTGCTCTAAATGCTTTAGTTTTTAGTCAAAAACTGCATTTTACCCTATGTTCTATTTTTAGCAATGACGGCCATGTTTTGTGACGAAACAAAAAATAAAACACAAACTTTATTCTGCATACCATAAGGGTCACCCAGCTTAATTTTGGATGGAATTGGTTCAGTAGTTTCAGAGAAAAAGATTTTTTAAAGTTAGAAAACATGATAAACAAATTGTGTAAAATTATCCTTAAGGACAATAAGTCCTTCTGGGATCAATTGACAGTTTTGGTCATATAAAATAATTTTTAGATCTTACTTTGCTGAACATTTTTGCTGTTTATCTTTATCTATAATAATATTCAAGATAATAACCAAAAACTGCAAAATTTCCTTTAAATAACCAATTTAGTGGCAGCAACCCAACAATGGGTTGTTAGATTCATTTGAAAATTTCAGGGCTGATAGAACTTGACCTTATGAACATTTGTATCCCATGTCCAATTTGCTCTAAATGCTTTAGTTTTTGAGATAGAAGCCAAAAAATGCATTTTACCCCTATGTTCTATTTTTAGCCATGGCGGCCATGTTTTTTGACGAAACAGAAAATAAAACACAAACTTTAATTTAAATACCCTAAGGATCATGCAGCTTAAGTTTAATTGGAATTGGCTCAGTAGTTTCAGAGAAGAAGATGTTTGAAATAGTTTACACCGGACGGACGACGACGACGGACGACGACGGACGCCAAGTGATGGCAAAAGCTCACCTTTGGAAAGGTGAGCTAAAAAGGTAAACATGCCACATGACACATATCATCAATGGCCCCCAATTGATGTCAAATGAATTTTTAAAGATAAATTTCTCATGGGTAATTCAAGATTTTTCATGGGAATATTCTAATGGGAAAAGCTAGAGTTCCCATGGAAAATCTAAAGTTCCTAAGGGAAAATAGATTTACAATTGGAACAATTCTACAAGCTTTGTTCGCATGGGATATTTTAAACTCTAAAAAGATAAAAAAAAATAAAAGCCCAAAATAAATGGCTACCGAAAGAAAAACAAGAGGCTCTCAAGAGCCTGAATCGCTCACCTGTGATTTTATGCTTAAATCGTTCATCAATGATTATTTTTGCTTTTCAATATATATTAATGAATGGCTTAAAACTTTCATTGCAATATTCTTTGTATCTGTCTTATTTTCTTTAAAATCAAAGAAATGCATTTTACCCCTATGTTTCATTTTAGCCATAGTGGCTATGTTTCTTGACGTACAAAAAAATAAAATACAGAATTTATACTAGATACTCTGAAACTTATTCAGCCCAAGTTTGGCTGAAATTGATTCAGCAGTTTCAAAGGAGAAGAATTTTTAAAGTAAGCAAACTTAATGAACAAATTGTGAAAAATTGATTTTAAAGGGCAATAACTCCTTAAGGGGACCAATTGACAATTTTGGTCATACGAACTTATTTGTAGATCTTACTTTGTTGAACATTTTAGCTGTTTACAGTTTATCTTTATCATTAATAATATTCAAGATAATAACCAAAATCTGCAAAATTTCCTTAAGATTACCAACTAAGTGGCAACAATCCAACAATGGGTTGTTAGATTCATCTGAAAATTTCAGGGCTAACAGAGCTTAGCCTAATTAACAGTTTACCTATCATCAGATTAGCTCTAAATGCTTTGGTTTTTGAGATATAAGCCAAAAATTGCATTTTACCCCTACGTTCTATTTTTAGCCATGGCGGCCATGTTTTTTTACAAAACAGAAAACAAAACACAAACTTTATTTTAGATACCCTAAGAATCATACAGCCTAAGTTTGGTTTGAATTGGTTTAATAGTTTCAGAGAAGAAGATGTTTGAAATAGTTTACACCAGACGGATGACGACGGACGACGACAGGATAGCAAAAGCTCACAGTTCCTTCGGAAAACACGAATAAGATATTGCATAATGCATGTTGGTTTATTTAGTTTTGTTATTTACGACATACTCAATAAAATAAGAATTCCGGATGACATCTAATACCTTACTGAAATCAATTGCATTCAAGTTCTTTTTTAGTATTTTTTGTTTACTCTAATTATTCTAATCCGATGAACATTTTAATCGTTCGATGGACATATAATCCTACGCTGCAAGTTATCACTGGTGACCTTGGTATTGTAAACAGTGGTTGCCTCTGTAAAGTGTTGGCCAAAAACCTGAAATATCGCATTAATGAAGCGGACAAATGCTAATGAAATCAATGGGGAAGTACGCTTCAAAAAAGAAAAAGGAACAATGTATGCCTGCAAAGTCTTAACTAATGTCAAAAGCTAATATCTGACATTTTGCTGAAAAAATAAATAAATGATATCTTTTTGGTATAGATGAATCAATAAAGACTTACGCTTTTTATATCAAACTTTAGGACGGACTCCATGAAAGCTGGAAGATTTGTGATCAATGTATACCATCCATAAGCGAGACACATATGACAACAGATTCCTACCCATAATACAACAGATGTTCCCATCGCTTTCCATGGTACGTTTGAAGCCTAACAATGACAAAGTTTGTCATATCAAATAATTATTCTTCATTCATGATATAACTATATATATAACTGAAAAAAATACCGAACTCCAGGGTATATTCAAAAAGGGGAAAATCCATAAAACCTGGAATAAAAGCAAACGTAGAATGTAAAAAGTTATTCCAATTTCTGCCATCAGGCAAATATAGCCTTACCTTATTTGGTCGTCACTGCTCTTCAACTTAGTATTTAATTTGGCATTCCAACTCTTTTGTTTAGAGCGCCCTTATCAGTCTTATGTAGACGAAACGTGCGTCTGGCGGACACAGTTATAAGCCTTGTATTTTATGGGTTCTTTTTCAAAACAAAAGATTATGAAACTTTATTACAACAAAATAAGAAATGAGGAACAAATAAATGGAGCAGGTATTCAACAATACAAAATAACGCAAAAAGACATCTAGATGTCAGGTTAATCTCCAACTAAATATGGGGCCTTAGTAGTCGAAGGTATTTTATCTAAAATAGGTACTAACCTGTCAACACTGAGGTTGGGAGTTCGAACTTGCTCCTATAGATGCGCTCGACTACGATCTTAATTGAAAAGGATTTCCTGTGTTCCTGTCGAGGTCTGTTGTTCTCTCTGGGCACTCCGGCTTCCTCCACCAATACAAACTGGCCACAAAGACAAAGCAAAGAGTGCGGCTATTGACGTTTAACATTGAGATATTTCAAATTTCAATTACCTCGAAATTCATTTCTGTTCAACAGTAATCTACTAATGTATACAAATTCGTATTGCCAATCAGTAGAACAAAAATAAATATCAAGGCAAATTCTCAAAGAAACTAGTCCTTCCTCTGTTCACGCAATAAACAATTACCGTCACATAACATATTTGATAGAACATTGAATGAAGCACTAAGTAGTTTTTTTGTAATACGGTTCTGCTTAAAAAAATAAATTACAAGTACGTTAGCTTATGCAACGTAAAACAAGCTTGTTGTTAATTGAGATAATGTTTCTTTTTTTCTTTTTTTTTTGATATAATGTTTCTTTGTTTCCGATTGTTGATGTGTTTTCCTTCTTAATTTTACTTATTTGATTTTGCAGAGCTTTTGAAGAACTTTTTGTTACTTAGATCTCTTACCTTTTTGGATGTATCAAACTCGATATTATTCGTTATGTAAATTAATTCCGCTTTTGTTATCCTTGGATGTTCTGAAGGGTTATCTCTAGCTTGGTAAAACCAAACAACAGTCCAAATACAACACAGTCCACCTGGATATAACAATGACAAAAGGTTGCATGACCAAATGAAAGACAAAATCTCAGAAATTATAAATCGAGGGACACACCCAACATGGCTAGTTTATAAGATCAATGTCAAAAACAACTTTAAATCAATATTCGCTTCAAAACATATAACAGATCCTCTATTTTCATCATATTTTTAATCATGCCAGCTCATTACACCAAATTGAGAGGGTAATTGGAATATAGAGAAATTATAACTAAAGGTTGTATCTTTTAATAACCCGACAAACCAACGGGCAGACTTTTCAACAAGTATTATAGGTCAAGTAGCAGACCCCTTTACAAGTCTGGCTAGATGGGGTTTTTAATTTGGGCAACTGTAGTTTACCGACGGTCACATCTCATCAATTCATTAGTAGATCCATATCAATGTAACAAAAACGAAGGGAATCGCACGAACTCCTAAAGAAACGAGACGGATGCGTCGATAGAGTAAGCGTCTCCTGTCTTGCATGCTTCACCTGCAGTGCAAATCATAGTCAGTTTGATTAAAACAGTTTACTTGTTGGATTGCTGCGATTTTCTATGGTCATTTTAGAGAGCAGTAAAACGACTATTTTAAGTTAATTTTTGTACAGATTATGATTTCGTCCGTTTGTACGATCAATGGAACAAACATTTTTATTATATAGTAATAAATATTTGTTTGTTTATTTAAATAAAAACACCCGAGAAAACGATCTCTGTATTTGCACGCATTTCCGGGAAAAAGCTGAGGCGTTACGAAATCGGCATGCATATTATTGCATCCTTTGTGGTCGTCTGGAAAAACAAGATGGCGGACAGATCATACAGATAATTTGACAGCGACGCCAGAGTCTATGATTGATAAGCAGATGGTCATTAGCTTTATTGATGATCAAAAGAAAAAATCAACAGTTAATTGCACGAAGCGTGACTTGAAATTATTATACAAATGGCTGGTTGGAAAGGAGGAGTTGAGATCAATCGAGAACATCCCTCACAATGAACTTGATCCTTTCTTGTCTGAATTCTACATAACCTAAAAGAAATAAAATGGCCAGGAATATGAACCGGGGACGTTCGACGGTATTCGTGCTAGTATTGAGAGGCATTTGAAGGACAAAGAGTACTCTCATTCATTACGTGACAAGGAATTTAATTTGTCAACAAGAGCACTTTCTGCAAAAAAGGTTCATTTGAAAAAACTAGGAAAAGGACATAAGCCGAATGCTTCAAAGGCAGTAAGTAAGGATGAAGAAGATTTGTTGTGGGAACAGGGGCAGCTCGGTGATGGTACACCTAGAATACTTATATTTTCTCTCTGGTACTATTTTACAAAATGTTTCGAACTACGTGGTAGAGATGAACATCGGCAAATACAATTGGGAGATATTTAAATGAAGAAGAACCCTGTGGATAACCGACAGTATATAGAATTTTCTGAGAGACTTACGAAAACTCGTGATGGTACCAAGGGAACAGAGAATCGTAAAGTTAAACCGAGAATGTATGAAAATAAATCTGATCGCTGTCCAATACAGCTTTTTAAAGCGTATCTTCTTCGACGTCCAGAAAATGCAATGTAACCAGAGTCACTGTTTTATTTGACGTGTATTCCAATGGAAAGATTTGAATCCATGATATTGTTTTACGAAAGGCCTATGGGAGAAAATACGCTGGCAAAATTGATGCCAATGGCCGCAAAAGAAGCTGGGCTGGACCGAAAAACAAACCACAGTGTGCGTAAAACAACAATAAAAACGCTTCGCAAGGCAGGTGTACCTAGAGACAAAATTAAACATATATCTGGTCACAAAAGTACAAGTTCGATTGAGGCTTACGATGATGATCTCTCCGATGATTAGCAAAGGGAATATTCAGATGTATTAACTGGGGTTAAATCGTCACATGGACCATCAGTGACCGCAAATGAAAGTGACAATACATATAACAATGTGGCTTTACAGAAGATTGACCGTCCTACTGTTTCACACAAAATTAGCCCACCGATGGCCACATCTTCACATTTTGTCTGTTCTTATACTGCTGCACCTAATAATATTCATAAACAATCTTCTAAAGGTGCGTCGCTCATCAACATGTTCAATTTTACATCTGGTAAAAGTTGTAAAAAAACTTCATTTTTTAATTTTTTTTTTTATATATTTAAAGGTTAACCATGATTGAAATATTTTACAACAAAAAAAACATTAGAAACAAATCTAAAAAAAATCCAAAATATCATTGCACTAGTGCAAATAACATTTATTCGCACTAGTGCAATAATATTTCTTTTTCTTTAAAACTTGTATTTTGACTGGATAAAACAGAAATTTTGTGTTTAAAATATTTATTACTATATAATAAAAGGGTATTTGCATTAATATTGGTGAATATTACCCTCGCAGTATATCATATTGCACTCGTAAACACTTGCAATATGATATACTGCTCGGGCAATATCCACCAATATTAATGCAATAACCCATTAATATAATATGAATATATTATATAGCTCCTAACGTATATGCGTATTTACTCATCCCTGGCTCTCAAATGTTTATATTTGAGCGTTCTTGATGAGGCAAATCCAGAAAAGCGCTGCTCACGCACACAATTTATGAACTGTTTATTTCATTTACAAGCATATTGTTTCATGGTGATAGCCTTGTGATGTTCAGTAGCAGCTTTCAGATAGTCATTTATCAATGAACCTTTTTATCAGAAGTAACAGATAAAAGATATGAATGTATGTGTCTGCTTTGTTCGCTGGTATCAATATAAAACGCTTTCTACATAAGGAAATGTCCGTATGAAGTCAAAAATATGACAGCGGTTTTCCATTCGTTTGAGCTTTTGATTTTGCCATTTGATAAGGGACTTTCAGTTTTGAATTTTCCTTCGAGTTCGGTATTTCTATTATTTTACTTTTTTCTAAAAGTATTCAATTTGATTTAGTTTGATGTAAAAGACGACTCTGTTGTAATCTAAAAATAACTGAATAATGTCTGTGATCAGTATGGCGCATCTAATTATTTCAGAACAAGTGCATAAATTATATCAGTTTGTGTATTTAAACTTACCAGTTATATAGAATACTGAACCCCACCCATTATCAAAACCATATTCACAAAGAAGTCCTGAAGTCGCAAATGTTCCTATTATTCCGGCATTTACTCCTACAATAAAAAAAAACATATTTCCATACATTCTATATCTTTTTTAGTTTACCTTAAAATAGAGACAGTTTGATAAATTTGTTGTTACTTTAAATCAATTACTGTATACTAGTATATTAAGAAATAATTCAAACATTTTGTTCATCATATGGTTTTGCACAATATCATCAGAATTCACTAACCTACATAAGCCGTTGCTACAAGTTTACTTCGTTCAAGTCGCGGAGCCCATCGTCCTAACATCGACGAAATAGCAGGGAAAACAACGCCCTATAAATAATAAAATAATTAAGATGTTGAGAAACAGGTTCAATTTTTATTTATTTACTAATGTAATGTAAAAGGGATCATATCATGTGGAAAACAACATCTGAATACAAATAATTAACGCTTATTTGCCCTGTTTTTACATTAAAACTGAACTAAGTATTGTTATCCAGACGGGCAGCAAGACTGTCCATTATAAACAAGTCATTTTTCTACAGCTAGTTCATTATATAAACGAATTTTACAGCGTTAGCGTTAACCTTTTAAACGTCGTGTAAATATAGATTCTACCACTGCATCGAGTGTGATAGATATTTCCCAACTCGAGACAGTTATATTTTCAAATTTAAAACGCGAAGCTTGCCGAGGTTTTTAAATATTGAAAATTTAACTACTGAGAGTGGAGAAATGTCTATCACACTCGATGCAGTGGTAGAATCTATATTTACACGACGTATAAAAGGTTAACGTTAAAGCTGTAAAATTCGTTTATATAATAAACTAGCTGTAGAAAAATGACTTGTTTATAATCCAGCATTATGCAAGAGATTTGGTAGCGGAATCTGTTTTTCTAAATATGATTTATTTCACCAACCCACCTCCCACAAACAAAACCCGGCATATCAAATGACTGTTCCTAACTGACACAGATTTGAAAACAACCTGAGATGGACAAGACAGCAACAAATTTGCCTTACACAAGGAGGACGATTCAGGAAATAGTTAAAAAAATAAATAAGCTATTCTAGCTACTGGCAAAAATTAATATTTTCCCGCAATATTTATGTCCTTTGCCTAACTAAGTAAATCAAATGCTCTTCCCATAATTGTAGCAAGAATTTGTAAACGTTGGTATAAGGGCATTTAAATGTTATTTTTCGTTTTGTACAAATAAACAATTCTAAATGATTGGATAGTATAAAAATAAGATTATTATGGCGGGGTTTAACATTTTTGCTGGTGGCCACCCACTTCCCGACCACCAGCCCGGACACTCGTGGATGCACTTGCATTTTTAGACTTAAGTTTTGATAATTACTATAAAAGTATAAAAGTCATGCCAATTGCCACTTTGACCAATTTTTACGGTTTATTAATTATGAAAGCGGATTAGCAATTTATCACCATACAATCTAAGACTCTCTTATCTTGTAATAGTATTAAAACATTTGACTTTTCTACATTTTACACAAGTATTCCCCATTCCAAACTAAAAGACAAATTGAAAGAGTTGGTCCTGCTTTGTTTCATAAAAAGAACGGCCCACGTAGATACAAGTTTCTGGTCTTAGGGAGAGATAAATCGTACTTTGTACTCTGATTCAAACAAAAAAAAAAATTCTTGGAAACTGGCATTATCAATATCCTTGATTTCTTAATTGACAACATATTTTACGTTTGGAGGACGTGTTTTTCAACAAATAATTGACATTGTCATAGGAACCAAATGTGCTCCTCTTCTTGCCGATTTGTTCCTTCAATCATATGAGCTGACTTCATACAGGAACTTCTTAGGAATAAAGTTAGCAGTCTCCTTTAATTTCACTTACTGCTATATAGATGATTTTCTCTCACTAAATAATTCAAAATTTGTCGACTATTTTTGATTGCATCTATCCCATCAAACTTGAGATAAGTATACAACTAGGTCTGCCTCATATCTTGACTTACATCTAGAAATTGACAATGATAATCGGTTGAAAACAAAACTTTATGACAAAAGAGATGATTTCAGCTTCCCAATTGTGAACTTTCCATATCTATGTAGCAACATCCAGCAGCGCCTGCATACGGAGTACATATCTCCCAGTTGATACGATATTCCAGGGCTCGTATTTCCTGTCATGATTTCCTTGATAGAGGGTTGTTGCTCACAAGGTAGCTATCAAACCAAGAGTTCCGAGTGGTGAAGTTGAAATCGTCCCTTCGTAAATTTTACGGACGCCATCACGAGTTGGTTAACCGTAATGGAATATCCATTTTACAGGTGACAACGGATATGTTCCAGTTGTCGTAACTACAATCCAGTCCCCTTTTCCCCAAATGTGACCTACCGAATTAGACTTATCACCGGGTTTGTACTAACATGAGCAATACGACGGATGCCACATGTGGAGCAGGATCTGCTTTCCTTCCTAAGCACCTGAGATCACCCCAGTTTTTGATGGGGTTCGAATTGCTCAGTCTTTGGTTTTCTATGTTTTTGTTTTGTGTACTGTTGTTTGTCTGTTTGTCTGTTTTTTTCTTTTTTAGCCATGGTATTGTCAGTTTATCAGAGTGGTGATATAATTGCATATATTCATTATAAGAGTTTTTTCCTGTGTAAATACAATATAGAATGTATATTTTGTATGTGTATAGCTTTTCAGGGTTACAGGTTGCATATAAAGAAAGCAACGTTTCGAATAGGTCATTGTGTCATGATACAATTCTTCGTTGAGTCTTGTAATATATATTTTATAAAGCACGTGAAATAATATTCAGATACTAGTAGACAGTTTTTGATTATTTTCCAAGTAATGTTTTTACTAATTTTTCTACTAGTTACAGGTTTTACCAATCGACTTCGCGCGGTCAAAAGGTTACAGTACAAAAAAAAACAATATGTTAGAAGTGAAGCGTAAAATTCTTGTCGTAAGTGTTTATCTTACATCTTAAATCTGTTTGGTACAGGTAACATAAAATGCCAACCTTTGTTCGTGCTGTTTGTATTAGATACACCTTGAGGGCGTTGGGTGTATCTACATGTAATTTACACCAAGATATTATTGTCAATGCAGAATGATAGTTTTCAATAATTTAGGAGGGGGTCTTTCTGCGATTTGAACTTGTGTTATTGAAAAGTATGATAAATGCAGGTATCTAATTTCATTTAACGACATCATGGTATAAATACAAAAATGCGGCACAAATGTAACAAAATATTTTTATGTGCCAATTAACACATATCCGACCATAACTGGAATCATTTAACATATGAACGAGTAATATCATAAACTATAATTTTTCGAGGTTATTGAGATTCGTGATATATGTTATGAAATACTACTCAAAATATATACAAAAAATAACATTAATTTATTACGCTAATAAGGCATACCGTAGTTAATCCCAATATTACACGAAGCAGGTAAACAAGTTTGACAGAAATTCTGGCACAGGTTGGCGTTAAAAGGGTTAATACCGACGCAATTGCCATACTAAGACCAAATACACGCCTGCCTCCAAATCTATCAGCCAGCCATCCACCAGGAATTTGCGTGACCATATATCCGTAAAAGAATGATGATAGTATTGCAGATCTGGTGCTTTTATCCCAGTCAAATTCTCCTCTCTAAAACAGAAAAGTGTACAATCTCCATGTATATTTTGCAGTTTACAATTATCAGTTTTGTTTTTAAATGCTTGATTTTTTTCAAAAGTCCAAAACAGATGTTCGTAGCAACCAAAACTATTTGTTGTATTCAAGTGGATATTTGTCACATTCAAATGATTTACAAGAAGTAATATAATTTTAGCATGTGGATAAAAAGTAAAATAACAAAAATACCGAACTCCAAGGAAAATTCATAACGTAAAGTTCCTTATCAAAAGGCAAAATCAAAAGCTCAAACACATCAAACGAATGGAAAACAACTGTCATATTCCTGACTTGGTACCGGCTTGTGGATTAAACCTGGTTTTATAGCTAGCTAAACCTCTCACTTGTATGACAGTCGCATCAAATTCCATTATATTGACCACACTGTGTGAACAATACAAACAGACATAATAGGTAAAAATGTCAAAAATAGGGGTACAGCAGTCAACATTGTGTTATAATCTTAATCACTATAAAAGCAAACAAATATGTCAAAAAAGAAAAACAAAAAGGCATATAGACAAAGCACATAATCAAAAATGAAAGACAAGAATACAAAAATTCACCATAGCACAATAACACAATGATTGGATACTGAGCCACGCCAAAAGTATATTACCAAATTTGAACTAAACAGTAAAGGTTACACTTTGTAAATACAGCTGTTTCTCAAACCATGCCTCTTTTGAGGAGATATATAATATTCATAGATATTTCGTTTTGTTTACGTTCTGGTTCCCAGATATGATCTCTGTTTCATCTCATAGAGACATAACCTGGGAATGTTACCAGTATCAAAACATATTGTTGCGGTGAAAATTGAATTCTGAAGAAGGCACAAAGTGAATGTAGGGGTAGTACAGAATTTTAGTATAAGTTTAAACTCTAACAACTTCGGGGCATATAAATGTTGAAAATATGCCACACTGCCCTATGTTTTGACCTTTGAATTAAATAGTAGTGCATATCAACTTTCCATTCTAGGATATGATTTTTTACGAAACTTCATAGTAAAAGTGGCACAGTTTTAGCCGCAAAAGGAGTTCTTATGGCAAATTGCATTGTCTATATTTATAGAAATGCAACCTAAAATTTGATAATTTTCTAAGACAAATAAAAGAACACTATAACACGTAATTAAGATGATAAACAACGTCAGCACCTAGAATCTATACTTCAAGACCATCATGTATTATTTGTGAAGTTGATACGGAATATTTATCAACAAGGTCTTGGTATCTTCCGATGAACTGTTTTAGAAAAAGGACGAGACGTTCTTTGACATAACCCTGGTTCATCAACTTTCTGCTCAGACACTGGTGACGTTTTCTAAAGTCTGAGTAGCAACTGCAAGCTCTTGAATACCGAATGAGGTGAAGTTGGCATATTGCTACTAAAGTGGGAGAAATTGATAATTTCAAAATTAAAATCGTCTCGTGTGTCATAGATTCTGGTACTGAGATGACGGCTTATATTAAATTCGAGGTATAAGTTTAAAAATGAAGCGGGGGAAGTCGTGTCTGTTTTTTTTTAATTTCTAGTTCTAGAGGATATATTAATGGAACCCAATCAGAAAAGTTTGGATTTTTATTAAATGGAAAGAACATCATCAATATATTTGAATGTGAAATAAAAGGGTCTGGCTTCTTTGATCTTCTTGTTTTTGACAAGTGTCTGAAGGAACTCCGACTCATTTAAAATAAGAAGAGGTCGGCATGGTGAGACGCACAGTTCGTTCCAATAGGAATGCCGACAATTTGGTATTCATAAGTATTAAATTTATAGCGTATGCTCACATTTTTATATTGAAAAGCATTGTGGATTATTTCTTTTAGACGATTTTTCAATTTCACATGGGAAATGGTGGTATACAGGGTTGAAAAATCAATTTTTTTGATAGAATTAATTTCAGAGAAAGATCGAGATATTCAGGGGGGTGGGATTTAGGGAAAGAGGATATTTTCTAGATTGACTTCTAATTTTTACCTGTTTCATACGCATGCTTATTTTCTCTTTTGTTTACAACAAATTCCTGCATTTTTTGTTGCAGATAATTCATTTTCATCCTGTCGTAGGCAAAATAATTTATTTCCAGCTCTAACCAGGCCAGGATATTATATTATGTATAAATTTGTGTATGTATGCATTTTTTTTAAAATCAAACATTATAGTTTTGGCGATTGTTGGTGACTTGGATTGTCTGTTTACTTTCTCATTGAATTATACACCCGAATCTGCTAATATCTCCTCATATTGATATCATTTTAATAACGATTAAAGGTAAAAGATTTAGCAAGTATAAAGTAAAACTTGTTTTTTCAGAACATAGTAAGGATAAACTAAGTTTCGTTATAAAAAGTGAACGAAAACCAGCATTAAAAAAAAGAGCGATAGAAACGTAAAATAAAAAGAACGAAAAAGAAAAAGAACACAATCTTTTGAATAAACTTATCCTAAAAGGTTACCAATTCAACACTGTAATTAGATCTTTGAATATTGTTTTTATTGGTATATTGATTATGTTATCAGTAAATTAAAACCATACTTGATATTATTGTTATAAACATATGCACATTCACGGTACTACAATCTGTCACATATATTTTGGCATTGCACAAGGTCATGTTTTTCTCTGGCTGTTAATGCCATCTTTCCACTAAATCCATTGTATGTTGGATATGTACTGATCGATATTTCAGTCTTAGATACATGATTTTTTTGATAATTTGTTATTGGCTTTGAACTAGCTATCAGTAACTGCAAGTATTCTCAGATCTTTTTGTTGTGTGATGTATAGATACGCTGTCACGTCCGGTCTGTGTTTTCGTTAGATGTTTTCTGCTTTGTATCGATCTGATGAGTTAAGCCCTTTTCCACTTATTTTTATAGTCTGTTCTTATGTTGTATTGTTACACCCCTGTCACAGGTTAGGGGGAGGGTTTGGCGCCAAAAAACTAGTTTAACCCCGCCTCATTCTATATGTGCCTGTCCCAAGTCAGGAGCCTGTAGTTCAGTGGTTGTCGTTGGTTCATGTCTGTCATTATATTTGTTTTTCGTAAATTGTTTTATTATAAATTAGGCCGTAAGTATTCTCTATTAAATTGTGTCATATTTGTTCATGTCGAAGCTTTTTATAGCCGAATATACGGTATTGGTTTTATTCTTTGTTGAAGGTCGTGCGATTGCCTTTAATTGTTAACAACCACTTCATTTGAAATTTGGTCGATAATTGTCTCATTGACAATCATACCACATCTCCTTTTTTATATAAAGAACTATATATAAACCTTTCTTTTTATTGTGTCTGTAAATGATTTGAAAAGTCAAATAAAAAATGCTAGCGCATGCCAAAACTGTCTACGGTTTTTTCAAGCTAAACTGATCAGGAAAAAAAAAATGAAAAAAAAAAAAACAGAACACACGGACATCAATTGACAGGAAACGAAAATTTACTACTCATGGTTCCATGTAGAAAATTGAATTGAAGGCACATGAAATGATCCGACCGACCTCACTGTTGAATGCATTGATTTTTTTTTAAAAAAATGAAGCAAAACGCCAATAGAAAAAGCATTACCTAAAGCATAGTTTGCTATGAGCAACATCTATGTACAAGTGATATAAAAGCAAATATATTTTGAGTAAGACTGTTCTCTCCTTGAAAATATCAAATAAGTGTTATCGACAGAGAGTGTGTAGTGTTTTCCTTGATTCCAATAACTTATAAGCCTTAAATAGGTTTTGTCTTTCATAAATCAAGTAAAAATAAATGTTACCTGTTGGTATGTTTGCTTTCCTACATACAGCCCACCACCGGTATCGTTTTTTGAAATATTGTTTACTGGTGAAATCGTCAGCGTCGTATTATCTATTGGCGTCTTCACCATGCACACTAATGCTACACTAATGTTCACTCTGACAGCGTAAACATTGAATAATCCAGTAAAGAATAAATATGCCAAAATCCATCTTTGGGAGAAGAATGTTGGAACTTTCTCTGAATTCTCTAAAAAAAAAACATTGTACTACATTCAAAATATGATATTTGCATGGTCAATTTAAAAACACGTCGTGTGATTCCGGCTTTTCGTTTGCAGAATATTCTTTTTCATCCAGTCTTGTGCAAAGTGTTCTTACTGGGTCAAGTTTTTCAACTATGGATTTACTATTATATGTATTATAATCTGGTACCTAACCAACACAAAGATTAGAGCGCAGAGTAGAACTTGCTAGTCTTGTTTCTACATCAATATCCTCGTCCTCACTTGGCCTGGGTTCCTGTCTCAACTTGTCAGCGACGCGTAACCTCATTATATATATATATATATATATATATATATATATATATTATATATATATATATATATGTGCATATGTCAAACTTTTAATAGTTCGTCAATCTAAAAGTTGAAAATATGGAATAAATGAAATAAAATAGTAACTTTCTCAACATGTTTTATTTTTAAATGTACATTTATTTGGAAGGAAACAAAAATTAGCAGACAATAATTCTATCAAGTTTTAAATTAAAATACGATAAGCAGTTTTATCTTTTCGAAAAACTTACCTTTATCATTTTCGATTTTTTCAGACAAATCGTGCTCATCTACATCTTTTGGTATCATACTTATTGGTTTGTGTCGTAATACTTTTTGATTCCGATCATAACATGTATTGCCGGGTTGTACCTTGTGTATGCAACGATCGTCAAATATTTTGGTAATGCCTTAGTGTATGGCAAAATTGACACATATATAAGATAGCCGTGACGGATGCATCTTGACTTGTTTATCACATAAATACTCGTGCAACTTTTTTTACACAGTAGAAGTTAGTAGTATCAAGGTCACCAAAGTGTAAAGTGTCAATTAGGAAATCGTCACTGACAAATGATTCGGAATTTTTTTTATAGACAATATTTTTTAAATATAATTACGGGAATCTGGAACAACATATAATAAACATAATGTTACATGGCATTAGACAAAACTTTGGCAGTAAAAAGACATAAATCGAAGTTCTTCAAAGATTTTTAAACTGCAATGATGCAATTGGTATGTAAATAAACTCAATAAGGCGGATAAACCATCTGTTTTTTTTAAAAAAACAAGTTTTAAAGATTAAACCGAATCGTAAACTTCAGTTTGCAGTAAAAGCAGACGATACAAAACATCTGAAAAGAAAAAGAGGATCATAAATAAGACTATACATACGTATTTGAATATTGAAGAAATACATATCTATTGAACAATGATGAGTATAATAAAATAATGAACCAAGTTATATACCAATTCATTTGACCAAATCTCGAAATATGTATAGAAAACTCGATGATCTGTTTATCGTTCTATTACTGGTCTTCCCCCTCCCCTTTAGACAGTTTCCCGCTTGACGAAAGCAAGCTTTTTCTCTGAAAATTTCTACTGACAAATTGTGACGTCGCTGATAATGCCTGCTCGCGACCCAAAGCCGTAATACGAGAATTATGGAGCTACTGAGTTGGTTGATATAGGCGAAGAGAATGACGAAAATGATGAGATATTTAAAACAAGTTGCTTTCTTTAAAAAAAAAAAGCAATACGTGAACCCGAGACCATTTGAATGTACCTTTTAAGGTTGGGAGTTTACATCATGTTTTCTTTGCTTAATATACAAAGTCCTAATCCTATTGCAATTCACAGTTTCTGCAAACTGGGTAAATAAGGCAAATTGCACAGATCAATCGAATAATTAATTTCAATACTTAGTTTGCTTTATAATCTAGATGCATGTATCTTTATATTTTATTTCCTGGATGCTTCCAATTGTTCTCATAATCATTACTATAGCTGTCTGTTCTCATTGTAGAGGTGGTATAGAGAAATTTAAAAGTACAATGTCCATGTGAAGTGGCATGCAACTTATAAGAAGGTTTCGCATTTTGTTCTTGAGATTAACACACAAGCTTCATTAAGGCCTCTTATATATACTGACAATTATTTTGGTCTCATAACACATCTTAAGGATTTCCCAAATATTCAACAGGAAAAACTTAGTTTTGAGGAATATCTTGTTTTTAGAAGTTTTATAAATACATGAACATGCTCTCAAAAGACCAAATCTATATAAAATGATGTGTTGATATTATATAAATAACACATAGCTGAGAGGATGATAGAGCAGATTGTTACCCCGAGAAAACATTGTCAACTGAGGAGAAGCCAAGCTTGACAATGTCTTTTCGAGGGGTAACAATCTGCTCTATCACCCTATCAGCTATGTGGTATTTAATTTATTATACTGAATGTTCTGTTATTACTGTCGATTAAATTTCAAATTCAAAGTAATAAACTATGACGTCTTGTACATAACAACCATCCGTATTTAATAAAGCGCACATTTGATCAAGCTTCTCCGTGAAGGGTAATAGAGTGTTTGCCATAGGATAGAGTCGTATTTAAAAAAGCGCACACTTGATCAAGCGTCTCCGTGAAGGGTAATAGAGTATTTACCATAGAATAGAGTAAATTAACACCCTCGTATAAGCCAATCAAAATATTGCATTTTGACGTGAAGTACGATAACGTAAATTGTCTCCCTAGTATTAACCAAACAAAATCTGGCATTTTGACATGAAGTATAATATAATTTAAGAACATCAGTTGTTCGACCTGCTAGTCAAATGCGTTTTGTTATAATATATTTTTTCACTCTTTTTGGTCTTTTTGGAAAATGTTGTTTGTGCTGTATTTAGACCCCTCTACAACGAAATTTGTTACATGCACACGTATAAAAATTGCAGTTTTTATCCAACGCAGTCATAGGTTTGAACGTTGTTTTAAATTTAGACTTATATAGATAGAATAGAGAATGGAAACGGGGAAGTTGTCATAGAGACAACAACCCGACCAAAGAGCAGAAATGGCCCACCAATATGGCTTCAACGCAGCGAGAAAAGCATGTACCCTTAGGCGGGCTTCTGCTGGCCCTTAAACAATAATGTATACTAGTTCAGCGAAATGGACGCCTCACTAAACTCCGAAACATACAAATTAACAAAATTTAAAAAACACACAATAGATATATAAGAAGATGTGGTATGAGTGCCAATAAGACAACTCTACATCCAAGTCACAATTAGTAAAAGTAAACCATTATAGGTCAAAGTACGGCCTTCTACACGGAGCCTTGGTTTTCACACCGAACAGCGAGCTATAAAGGACCCCCAAAATGACTGTGTAAAACCATTCAAACAGGAAAACCAATGTCTAATCTATATAAAAAACGAGAAACGAGAAACACTTATGAACCACATCATCAAACGCCAACCACTGAACATCAGGTTCCTGACTTAAGACTAACAAAGGCTAGTATAGAAGTTCCTGACTTGGGACAGACCCACAAATGCGGCGGGGTTAAACATGGTTAAACAGATACCAGGATTAAAATTTTGCACGCCAGACCCGCATTTCGTCTACAAAAGACTCATCACTGTCGTTCGAATAAAAAAAGTTAAAAAGACCAAATAAAGTACGAAATTAAAGAGCATTGAGGACCAAAAACTCCGAAAGGTTTTGCCAAATTCAGCTAAGTAATTTATACCTGTGGTAGAAAATCCTTAGTTTGTAGAAAAATTCAAAGTTTATAAAAGGACAGTTACTCAAAACAAAAGAAAAAGAAAAAGGGAAACAGCTAGAGGATGAATACCTTAATGGTGATCATGATTCATAATTATATGCCAAGCTCTTATTGCCGTGTCCTGAATTTAGATATAAAATGAGAAAATTCCACGAAATTCTAATGTAAGTTGAATTCGGATGTCAAAGTACCTACCTCAAGTGGTTTGTCATTGTCATTTAATCTTGAATTTGTGTGAACGAAGCCGATATTGTTGTCAAATCGGATATACAAAATCGCACCCTATTGCAAAAATCTAGAGGCTATTAGGTTGAACTATTACAACAAAAACAAAATGAATTGAAATTTCAGTTAAACACATTTCTGTAAATAAATCTTTTCCAAAAATCAAAAATATACTATCAATAAACACAAACGTCAAGTATTTAATGATTGACATCTTTTATCAAATCAATCTCTTCTTCAAGTGTAACTTTCAATTTTATGAATATATTGTTATACAAAATATAAGCAGACACTTACAAAACCATACTAAAACGGTATGAAATAATAAACGTTGTAATTATAATAAAAATAATTATTTAAAAATATCAATCACGTTGTTTTGTTTGATGCAAGGATTAAAAATCCTTGTGAACAGAAATATCGTTTTGTTTTCAATAAATTCTCTTTTCTTTCCGACATTTGTTCACATGTTGCGTATAATTGCGTCTACAAATTATCACGGGATAAACGTTCAGAAATAATCACACAATAATTATATTGTCAGTTTACTAGTCTCAGGGTTTTTTTTCTCAGAATGCACACTAGCACGTTGTATTAAATACTACATACACAACGCGTATAGGGACCGTCTCAAAACATAAATTATATATTGATTGATGAAATACAATGTCACATAGTAGCATATACATAGAGGGATCGTATCAAAAACAAAGAAAACTATCTGTATAAATGATCGAAAATTTGCGAGACGTTCCGAGAATCTTGTTTCCGAGGATATATGAATGGACCATAGAAGCTACCAAAACTCACCAATATATAGACGTCACGGGTTCACGCCAAAAAATAAATCAAACATTCATACAAACCCCAATTTAGATTCAAAGCAAACATCATACTCATCATTCACGTTAAAATGTCTTTCCTGATTGAGTATGCCAGCAACTGGGGTAATTTGTTGTCAATTACATACATTTGTTTTAAAGGTCAATGGTTGAATTTATTCTTCCAATAATTTTCAATGGAATCAAACTCTTCTGAAATATTTTTTTTTTCAAGAGTTTTTGAATCAAACATGCCCATATTAGTAAAAAAAAAACATGTTGTAGAATTAGAACCCAGTGATAGATAGATTGACTGTTGTTTGCTTAACGTCAATTGGCAAATATTTCATGCATGTTCAGGATAAGAACAAATTAACATTAAATACAATAGGTAGATATTGAAATTGTGATAGAAAAACACATCATATCGCATTTAATTATTTATTTAGTGCACTGTTGTAGTAAAGATTGTAACAGTAACCCCACAGTAGTTCACTAAGTATACCGCTAATTCCCTGCTTATTTCTTTCGTTTGTTTTGCATACATTTACATTCCTAATTCTAAAAGCTATAACTGTTTGATTTACTTTGGAAAATGTCGAGATCACGTGGTCGAGACAAAAATGGTAACAATATATGCATGATTCTTTGATTCAAAAAAAGATTGATGATAATAAAATGAAATAATTCATAAACATATTCTAAGGCTGGTAAAAAATATAGAGGAAGAAAATGCATAAATCTACATACTCAGATTATGTTATGTTTATCTATGTTTCTTATATGCTACTTTGATTGTTAAATGATTGCTGCTTGCTTAACATGAAGGTGCAAATAATTCATGCATATTCTGGACAAGGTTAATTAGTAAATACTACTGGCATATTTTGCTAAATTGGTAATTTGGAATGAAAGGCGTGAAGTGTGGACAGTCAAAATATACGGTACAAATGTACGTCAAATAAGTACAGCCGTTTGACTCTACAAACGGCAACCAATGGACCACACAAAGAGTTGTCAGCTGCAAAAGTGTGTAAATGTGCAAATCTTGTTATTTGGTTACTGTAAGTTGCTTTAGAAAACTGCATACATGTTTGATACCTTGTTCAAATATTTCTACTACATACATTGAACAATCGATTATCGCTG